AATGTCTTGGTATGCTGATGCCTTAAGAGTTCCCTTCACTGGAACAAAGGGTCCAAGCCCAACCCCTGAAAAACAACCCCACACCATAATCCCCCCTCCACCAAACTACACTTGGCACAATGCAGTCAGGCAAGTACAGTTCTCCTGGCAACCGCCAAACCCAGACACATCTATCGGATTGCCGTAGGGAAGGACTACAAAATACTTCCCCCTCTCCTCTTCTCCAAAACAGGGTTCTGTAGTCCTCAAAGATAGCTGGGAACAATATATCTGATAAAAGATTTCTGAAAGGTATTATTTTGCACTTGTTGAGCAAATCTAACAAAACAGGGACCAAATAAGAGATGTTCTTTGTTGGGGTGTATGTATCCTTTAAGCCAGTGACCAATAAGATAACAAACAATAAATGTGTACCTGCATGTAATTAACAAACTAGCGTCTTCCTTTCATTTAGCTGAAGCCTTATTTCTGAGATGGCATCTGGTTTTTTTTTTGGATGCCCTTCCACCCCTTTTACTGGCCGATATAAAAGATATAAATTAGTGCAACTCTGTATCCATTATTACATCATTAAATATATCTGAATTTAACCTTGTATTAGCCTTTTGTCGTCCCTGGTACACCAGAGCTCAGACTGGTGGAGGGAGAAGCAGCTCAAGGTGCCAATCAGTTGTGCTGCATGGGCTAACAAGGAGCATGCCGATAGGAGGAGGGAGCAGAGTGATGAGCTCATCAGTCTGCTGCTTCTCCTTAACTGCCCAGTCACAAGCCGGGGGAGGGGCAAGACCTGAAGGTGTTACTTAAAGTAGTATTAAGTTCTGGGCATTTTTTACCTTAATGCATGCTCTGCATCAGAACCTTTTTTTCCCCTAGTCCCCCCACACTTACCTGTCAGCGACACTCGTCCCCGCCGCAGGCCCCGAAGCGATCCTCCGTTCCCCGTACTTCCTGGTTGCAGGGGGAGGATACTAATAGCAGAGGAGCCATAGGCTCCATCTCCCATCAATCAAAGAGAGAAGGGGCGTGGCCTGCCACAGGGCTGTGTGTGTCTATGGACGCACACAGCCACTGCAGGCACGAGCTCGCACGGGTGCCTCCATTAGCCGATGGAGGCACCCGTACTGGGGGCAGGGGCAAAGAACGCTGCGGGGACCCACTCGAAAACGAGGAATTTAAAGATTTTAAAGAAAAACGACAACAGCCTCAGGCAAAGGAGGGCATCCTATGCCCATAGCAAATATTTAAGAAAAGGAAGGTTTAATATCGCTTTAACTGCAGCAGAGAAAAATCAGGTCTCCTGCCCTGCCAAACAAGGCTGTGCTGTGTGGCAGAGCTGTGTCATTTTTCAGACTGGATAAATAAGAATATAAATCCTTTAGGGGGTAAGACAACTCCCATATTGGTATTTAAATTGTGTATTTAGCCGCTGGCCTGGAGTTCAGCTTTAAGACAGTGATCAGGAAGATCAGAAGCATTGGACGTGTACCTGCATGTCATTTACAGACTGAAGCCAACCCTTCCTTTCTTATCAACCGATGAACTCACCTTGCGTCGTCCTTTAATTTCTGCTTTGCTGATATTAAGATCAGTGTGTGACTTCCCCTTTACATGAAATTCCGCGCATTATTATGATAATTAGATTTCCCGCTAGGAATGGTCAAATTAAAGACTAAGGCACATATGTCGCTGCTGAAACTTCCACGGCTTTTGTCATTCATTGCTTTCCATTGTCATGCTAATACTTTGCATATATAGAGTATGTTAAAGCTGAACTTGGATATAAAAGACGTGAGTTGGTGCAGCTCTGCAATCCATAAGACATCATTAAACGTGTTTTTGAGAAACAAGTAGTGTAAGCAGGGCTGGATTTGCTCTCTCTGCTGCCCCAAGGCCAGGTTCCTCAATGCGCCCCCCTTCCCCGCCAAACCTGCAGCAAAACAAGCGGCGGCTTCCCGCGGCATATTTAGCTCTGCTTGCTTTGAGCAGGGCTAAATGTAGAAAACAACTACCTGCCCTGTGCCTGGAACTGCATGTCCCGGGCATCGGAGGATAGGAATTCCACACCGCTGCTGCCCCTTTACTCCCTGCTGCCCCTCTACTTCCTGCTGCCCCAATGCCGGGCCTTGGTTGGCCTCGTGGGTAATCCGGCCCTGAGTGTAAGTACATTTGACCTGGCATCAGCGTCTTGCAGCCCATGTACACCAAGGCTGGAGTGTGAGAGGTGTTTTCATTTGAATGGTACCCCAAAGGCACCTCCCACCCACAGTTCGATCGCCCGCACCGGAACATGGACTACTGCGACTTGGGTCGCGACTTAATGACCAATTTCAAACGTGGATCCTGAGGTTCCACAGGTTGAGAACCGCTGGTCTAAATGAACCCAATATGTGTGTCAAATTGTGAGCGCTGTATAAAAGCATGTTGAGTGGAGGAGAGCAGAGTGACAGAAGAATGACCTCATCACTGCACTGCATTCTTCTTTCACTGTCCATTCACAGACTGAGGGTGTGTTGAGGACAACCTGGGCTCAAGGAAATTGGGTTGCATGATGCTGGCCATCACACTGAGGACATCTAGCGACAGGAGAAAAGTACTGCAGGGAAAGTCTCTGCCTTGAAGCTCACTATTGCCTCAAACACAGGTTTTATTTTATCTTTTAGTGGGTGTTAATGCACCATTACATGTGTGATGGTGCATGTTTTATGCAAATCTATGTGCGTTTTTATGCATTCTCTGCCCTATTGTTGGGTTCTGTCAGCCATGACATGAATTGTTGACTAGCTGAGGTTGCTATGGGAGGGTCTGGATACCATCAGCTGGAAATGCACTAAATCTCATTTTTTCATACAACTCCATGCCCTTCCATTGCCATCAATAGCTCCTACAAAAGTAAAAAATGGATCTGCACTTGTTTGACCAACACATGTCAACACACTGTCCAAATGTAAGCTAGAACCATTAAAAATAATAGCAAAGCTATGAACATGCGTTGGCACACGTTGAATTGTAAAGGGGTGGACCACTGCCTATGTCACTAGATCTACTTATGGCTTTTTAGCCTCCATTCACACTTTAGCCTGAGCATGATTTTGAAGCATTTACGCTTGTTTGTGAATATGAACTGACATGGTTGTCACTGAAGGTAACCTCTGCTTGGGCAGTTTTATCATATACACAGTCAGAATTTCCAGTCTGAAAGTCCAGTTGATGGATTGTCCACGGTGACCACTTTTAAGGAAGGTAACTCCATCACAGAAGGAACTATGGAATATGGATAGAGTTTGCTTTGGTAGTTCAAAAAATGCCGGACTCAGAATGTGTATTGCCTCAAACCGTTCTCCCGATTGTTTTACCACCTAAATATTTATGGCGTTAGGAGCCTTTTGAGGGTTCCGGCTGATAGAGGTTTACGTCCTGCTTTGCTTCTAGCTTGGGCTGTTTCAGTGGGATTTTATGATGCCTCTTCTCTTATGCTGGCTGTGTTTTCTTAAACGTACATGTGTACTGCAAGTAGTGAACCATATATGAAACCAGAGCCTAATACAACATTTCTCCACCTTTTATTAGTCATGGCACCCTTTAAAAGTATGCAGAATCTTGAGACACGCCAGTCTAAAATGTAGGGGTTTTAAGGGGAGACTCCACTCAAAAACACAAAAAAGTGGGGTTCTTCCCTTCACATTAAAGCCCTGCCTTCAAATCACTAGCCACACTTTTACATCAGGATCCCCCCTTTTACATTAGAGCCCCCTTTACATCAGAAGCTGAGTCCCCTCCTTTCGCTTCAGAATACCCCCTTTACATCAGAGTCCTCCTCTTTCACATTATAGTATCCCCTTCACATCAGTGTCCTCCTCTTTCACATCAGAGTGCCTCCTTCACATCAGTATCTTCCTCTTTCACATTAGAGTTCCAACTTTCACATCAGTGTCCCCCCTCTTTCACATAAGAGTCCCCCATTCACATCACAAGCCCCCTGCACATCAGGAGCCCCCCTTTCATATGAGAGCCCGCTACTTACACATCAGGAGTCCCCCTTCACATCAGTGTCCTCTTTCACATTAGGGGACCCCCTTCACATCAGTGTCCCCCTCTTTCACATTAGAGTTCTTCCTTTCACATCGGAGTCCCCTCTTCACATCAGAGTCCCTCCATTCACATCAGAGTCTCTCCATTCAGAACATCAGAGTCCCAACTTTCATATCAGATTCTCCCCTTCACATCAACGTCCACCTCTTTCACATCAGAGTCCCCCCTTCAGATCAATGTCCCTCTCTTTCACATTAGAGTCTCCCATTCACATCACAATCCCCCTTCACATCAGGAGCCCTCTTCACATCAGAAGCCCCTCTTCACATCAGAGTTCCCTATTTATATCATAGCCCCCTTTCATATACAGAGCCATATCCAGAGCCTTTTTTTCCATCAGAGCTCCCCCTTCACATCCGGAGCCCCCTTCACATCAGAGTTCTACCACCACAACATTTTTAGGCACCGTTGAAGAAGCCAGAAGGCACCCTGGTTGAGAAAGGCTGACCTAATGCACATCCAGAGGGAAGTTCAAAGGCAAGCCACCATCATGACAAAAGGCTCTTGGTGCAACATTGTTTCTGTAATCTTTGAGTTGACTCTGAGCAAGCATGTGGCCAGTGAAGGCAGAACTCCCCACCTGTGCACTTGTTCTAGTTCAATGACTGAGGAAATACTGAAGCCACTGGAGCATTAGAGACGGGTAACAGGCATTATCAGTAGGAGGTCAGCGTTGACAGGCAATGTATTCCTTCTAATACAGGTTTCCTCTAAGGAAGATAGAAGTCCTGTAGGCGAGATGTTCTACACAATGTATTACAATCGTACATCTGAATCCTCTTCATTTTGCGAGCTGTATGTTTTCATTGTATGACATTTTTCCCATTATCTCTGCACAGGAAAATATTTATTTGCATGATGTTTTTGGAGGCGACGTGACCTGATATTCTCCAACTCCTTTTCTTTTGCAGATTGTGGCACAAGCTGTGTTGTTTATGTGTATGAACACGGCCGGAATCTTCATTAGCTACCTGTCAGATCGGGCTCAGCGACAAGCCTTTCTCGAGACCAGAAGATGCGTCGAAGCCAGGCTGAGACTTGAGACTGAGAACCAGAGACAGGTAGGAGACTCCCCAACTCCCAAAATGTTCTTCATCCCAGTGCTTTTGAACTGAAAAGCTGAAATACTTAGATGTGAGCTGTACTAAAAAAAACTTGGAATTCTGTCGGTGACTTCACGCTTCTACATTATGGTTAAGCCATACAGTTTGGTCACCGACCTGCCCCACTAGGCTACATATTGGACAGTAAAAGAAATAAAACCACACAAATAAGGTCATTGTTTTTAGGGAAGAGTGGTCACAATTTTGCAGAATTGATTCCTCCTTTAGGGAAATTTCACTTCAGGTTGATGCATTTTTTCAGAATTTGAGGAAAAACCTTAATTTTGCCCATCCCTTCAGGCATTAGCTTTTTTGGCAGGGGTGTCCTTAACATAAGCATTACATGAGGGGGAGTGCTGGTGGGCTTGTTTCAGAAAAAGGGGGTTAGGGTTTGCTGGGCATTGATGGGGTGCTAGTGGTGCACACTAACGATGCTGTGGCTGGCATTCTGGCGGTGCACCACCCAGCTCTGGCCAGCATCCTGTTCAGCTCAATGACATCACTGGTTGCCAAGAGCTGGGTGGGACGCTGGCCCAAGCATGACAGGTTGCTAAAAGCTGGGCGCGGAGATGTGTAGGGCCCTTATACATCTCCTCGCCTTGCTCTTAGCAACCTGGGATGCTCTGGCTCCTGGTGACCTAAAGAGATGCCCTCTGAGGCAATAGTCTTAGGCTGCCTCAGACTACCTGATTTTTGGTCAAAATATTTTTCAATGTCAATGGCAGACAAAAAAAAGTTTCAAAAAGTTTAAAATTGGTGACAGGTTCTCTTTATAGTACAACACCACTTTGCACTGTTGCTTCAAAACTTTCCACAATTGACACTTTTAGTTGTTCGGTTGATACAGATATGGAAAATAAGCAGTTTTTTGGAGTTTATTCCTTACATGTAGCCTTACCCTAAAAACACTCCCTTAAAAAGACAAGAGTGGGCTCCCAAGCCTGAAGTAATGTCTTTTCTTTTTGTTTGCTACTCATATTAAATACAAATCTTGACAGCTCATGAGAGCTACCATGCCAACAAGAGAGCGTTGTGTGCCCCCAGTAAGCCCCTTCCAAATCACAGGTGTTTCTATGGAGACGGGTCTCCTGGGATTGCCATGGTGATGGCATTTATAGAACACACGAAGGAGCCAAAAAAAGCCTGGATGTGCGGAGAGTGTCCGTTTCAGTCACAGTTTCCAAGAGGTAACCGTGCCGTGCGGCTTGTGACGTCAGGAACCAACGTGAAGTTTCCCACGTAGTTATCTTCAAACTCCCTCTTCAACACCACGGAGGGAGTAAAAGTGAAGGCCCTTAGCGAACCTGCCAAGACTAAACTGCCTAAACTTAGTAGCATCCGGACTACCAAGGATTTGAGGAAACTTCTCTGTGTCTGGACTACTAGGAAGAGGAGAAAACATCTCTGCGTCCTGACTTCCAAGGACTTGAGGACAGCTCTCTGTCTGGAATACCAGGCACCAGGAAAGTCCTCTGTGTCCAGACTGCCGGGGACATTAGGAAAGTCCTCTGTGTCCAGACTGCCGGGGACATGAGGAAATTTGAGGAAACCTCTTTGTTGCTGGACTGTCAAGGACATGAGGAAACTTCTCAGTGTCTTAACTAACAAGAACAAGAGGAAACTCCTCTGTGTCCGGGCTGCCAGCACATGAGGAAAGTCCTCTTTGTCCAGATTGCCAGGGACTTGTGTGAACACCTCTGTTTCTGGTCTGCCTGGGGAATGAGTAAACTCTTCTAGGTCCATATTGCCAGGGGCATGAGGGAACTCTTCTAGGTCTATATTGTCAGAGGCATGAGGAAGCTCTTCTAGGTCCATATTGCCAGGGGCATGAGGAAACTCCCCTAGGTCCATATTGCCAGGGGCATGAGGGAACTCTTCTAGGTCTATATTGTCAGAGGCATGAGGAAGCTCTTCTAGGTCCATATTGCCAGGGGCATGAGGAAACTCCCCTAGGTCCATATTGCCAGGGGCATGGGGAAACTCTTCTAGGTCCATATTGCCAGGGGCATGAGGAAACTCCCCTAGGTCCATATTGCCAGGGGCATGAGGGAACTCTTCTAGGTCTATATTGTCAGAGGCATGAGGAAGCTCTTCTAGGTCCATATTGCCAGGGGCATGAGGAAACTCCCCTAGGTCCATATTGCCAGGGGCATGGGGAAACTCTTCTAGGTTCATATTGCCAGTTGCATGAGGAAGCTCTTCTATGTCCATTTTGCCAGGGGAATCAGGAAGCTCTTCTAGGTCCATATTTCCAGGGGCATGAGGAAACTCTGTTTCTAGACTGCCAGTACATGAGGAAACTCCTGTGTCCGGATTGCAAAGGACATGGGTGAACACTCCACTTTGGGACAGGACTTAACTCTTCTTTGTCTGGACTACCAGGGCTTTGCCTAATCTCCTCTGGGTCCCAGTGGACCTCCAGGAACATGCTTGAAGACCTCTGATCTCCATGGGACAGCCAGGGACATGCATCGACTCCTCTATATCCCCACTGCCCAAAAGATGCTTAGGCACTCGAAGTGGAGGATCCTTGTTACTAAAAAATTATAGCCAATAATGTTTATTTAGTTTTGGATAGAGTAGGGAAGGATTAGACCCTCTGTCAAGTTTTTATTGTTCAGGAAGTAGAGGAAAGATCTGGGGCGCTGGATCTCTTGGAGCAGAAGGTGATCTAATTCAGGTCTTAAACACTATAGCAACCTGGGAATGATTCCGGCAGCTCTCCCAGGGGTGGTTGCTGAAGGTCGGCCCTTAGCTTGACTAGGGACTGAGCGTGCAAAAAGGAAAGTGCCACAAGTGGAACTAATAAAGTCCACATTTTATTTTAAAGCTTAGCCGGCATCTGGAGCTATCATACTTACTATCCTTCAGGACCCCTCCAGTTCTAGGGGTCTCCTGGGCTGTGATGTATGGCAGAGCTGTGTGAATCTCAGGACTGTGTTAAAGTAAACACAGTTCCTCAGATCCCTCAGCAGGTACAACAGCTTTGGTATATGCATGTTATCTGTGTATATAGCCGTTTGCCTGGATTTCAGCTTCAACAATGCTCAGCCTGGCGTTGTTCTGCACATTTTTGGGTGAATGCAGGATGCTGCTCCAGGCGACCATTATGGAATGGTTAATGCAGGGTAATGAATCACATGGATATGGATAATGGCACAGCATGGCGGTATAATAATCCCCCTGCTGTAGTGGTGAGCTGAAATGAAATCAGGGATTTTTTTATTCTTATCGCCGAAGCCTATTTTCCTGCCATCACCTTCCTTCCCGGTGACATTATTCCCAGTGCAGAAAATAAATGGGCTCCTTCTCGCTGTAGTCATTTACTCTGAGAGCGTCAGGGGTCGCGCATTTCCCCAGGCAATCTAACAATGATTATTCTCGTTGAAGTTGTTGAGCGACTGAAGATGAAGGAATGTGTAAAGTCTTGTGTATAAACAGGAAGATGACTACGAGGTAACGTGGGAGGCTGATCAGCGGGGACTCACTCCGCTCACGTATGAAAACTTTGCATGTAGGCGCAGTCTATGCCTGCTCTGGTCCCCATCTTTGTTCACGTGACTACCTAGGTCACTGAGCATTTTCATTCCCCTGAAATTTTGGCTGTAATCGGGTGCTTTTTGGTACATGGTTACCATTTCGGCAAATGTGGTGTCAATGAGAAAGTCAAATTTAAAAATTTAACCACATGAGTATCAACAGGGCCGCCCTATAATGAGGCAGCCTCAGGTGGCATCTCATTGGGGGGTGGCAGGTGTGTGTGTGTGTGGGGGGGGGGGGGGGGCGGCACCCG